CCGTTGGTCAGTATCACGGATTACTTCCAGCAGAACCTCGCCGCGGATCTGATCAACGAGGATGGCGTTCACCCTATCCTGAAGGTCGACGCTATCAAGTATTTGTACACTTTCCGCAGTATCATCACAAAGGAACAGTGGCAGCAGGTTCTCCCTGTGCTGGTGAAGCACCTGGCGTCGTCGAACTTTGTTGTCTACACCTACGCCGCCATTGCCTTGGAGCGAGTGCTTTTCCTCACCGACAGCCAAGGACAGGCAGTCATTCCACCCACTGAAATCACACCGCTTGCTAAGGATCTTCTCGAGCACATATTCCAGCTGATTCAGAGTGACCCAGCTCCTGAAAAGGTGCAAGAGAACGAGTTCTTGATGCGTTGCGTGATGCGGGTTCTGGTTGTTATCAAGGAGGGCGTGGTGCCTTTCACTGATGTCGTGCTGCAGCGCTTCATTAATATTACCAACATCATCAGCGCGAACCCAAGTAACCCCCGATTCTACTACTTCCACTTCGAAGCCATGGGTGCCTTCATCCGGTATGTGCCTATACGTTTTTCTTTTGTTTCCAAGCGCCCAAACCTAACATTTTTTTTTTTCTAGATTTGCTGCTCCTGCCAATCCCGACAAGCTCGAGCAGGCTCTTTATGCGCCCTTCGCAGCTATCCTCCAGAATGATGTACAGGGTGAGTCAAATCAAACGAAACGATATCTTTGTTAGAATCACCCCTTACTAACAAGTTTCAGAATTCATCCCCTACGTTTTCCAACTCTTCGCGGCGCTGCTTGAGGCCAACCCATCCGGCACCCTTCCCACCTACTACCAGGAACTTATTGGCCCTATCCTGATGCCCGTTATGTGGGACTCAAAGGGAAATATTCCTGCCTTGGTCCGCCTCCTTTCCTCGATCATTCCCCGTGGCTCGCAGTTCATCATTGAACACAACCAGATCGAGCCCATCCTTGGTATCTTCCAGAAACTAGTTTCTACCAAGGCTAATGAGAGCTTCGGCTTTGATCTCCTGGAGACAGTTGTTGCTAACTTCCCACCGTACGTATCACCCCTTCCCATGCCCTAATTGACGGTTACCTGACTTCACTTTCTTTAGAACTGCCCTTGAGAACTACTTTGTCATGATCATGCAGATTATTCTTCAGCGTCTGCAGAACTCCAAGACAGAGAACCTGACTATGCGCTTCATCCGCTTCTTCCACTTCATCTCGGCACTGGACAACAAGGGCTACAGCGCGGACTTTGTCATCCAGGTCACCGACAAGGTGCAAGAGGGGTATGTATCCTTACCCTGTCCTGTATGTATTACTCATATGCTAATCCATGCCTAGACTCTTTACCCCCATCTATGTCAATGTCATCCTGCCTGAAACCCAGAAGCTTGCCCGGCCTTTGGATCGCAAGACGGCTATCATCTCCTTCACCAAGACCCTTGCCAACTCGGAGGCCTTTGCCACTCGCTACAGCCAGAAGGGATGGGGCTTCACCTGCACCGCCTTGCTGAAGCTCCTCGAGCTTCCCCCGCTCCCCGCAAGCAGGGATGATCTCATTAATGATGCAGACATCGAAGACATGTCCTTCGGTGTTGGCTTTACTCCTCTGAACACCATCCGCGCCCAGCAGAAGGACCCATGGCCCGAAACTGGTGCCGATCTCAAGGCTTGGGCTGGCTCATACCTGAAGGAGGCCGACAAGAAGCAAAATGGCCGTATTTCACAATTCGCCCAGGAGCGTCTTGACGACCAGTCGAAGACTGTGCTAGGAAGTTACATTTCTTAGTTGTGGCTTTGCCATGACCCCCTTTCCCTTTCAAGAAACTAAAAAAAGTTCGACCTACTCGTGTTTGCTTTCTCCTTCAGAGCAATGCAATCATTTTCCCCAACTCCCCCTATTACACCATATGCATGTTGCGATGAGACACTAGATCCATGAAATAAATGTTTGTTTGATTTTCCATTACAAGAACATCCATGAGAATGTAAATCTCAAAAGTAAACGCTCAAACACCAATGCAGTAGACCTACTATACAAAATGCCCTAATACATGCAACACTATAAAGCACAAAGCTCACATTATGAACTCTTTCCGGACCCTTCAGAGGATTTAACCTCACCCCCAGTTTCCGGCTTAGTTTCCGGCTTAGTTTCCGATGTAGCCTCCTTATTCTCTCCCCCCTCCTTTACATCATCATCCCATATAATTTCAATCTCATCCTCTTCCTCCATATCAGCTCCCCCCTGCTTTCCACCCTCCCCAAGCTCCCGATACTTTCTTCTCGTCTTCTTCAGCTTACTAGCCTTCTTCTTCTTCGCCGCCGCAGCCTTAATCGCAACCCGACTCTTATCCCCCTTCTCCTGCGCCTCGACTCTATCAGCGAGCAACGAGCGCGCAATCTTCGCGTTCTGCGACTGTGAGCGTGTCGCTTGGCATTTAATTACCACCCCGCTGGGCTTGTGGATAATTTGGACGGCGGAGTTGGTTTTGTTCTAGGGTTTGTTAGTTTCGGTCTACTGGTTATGGATGGCGGCGATCTGGGAAGAGAGAGGGGAGGAGGGTGCATGGTCTGGGAATGCGATTGGGACTTGAAACGTACGATCTTCTGTCCGCCAGGCCCAGTGCCTTTTAGGTAGGATATTGATATGTCGGCATCGTTGATCTTGAGTCGTGGAGGGAGGGGTTTTGCGGGGACGATGGGGGTTTGACTGAAGAGTCGGGCTGGGGCTGATAGTGTTCGGGACGGTGTCCACCAGCGTAGGCGAGAGAACATTGCTTTGGTGTTTGTGCTGTGGTTTGTTGAACGTTGAGGTTATGGATTGCCGCCGATGTTTGCGATAAGAGATAAGCTAGGAAGTATGCGAGCAGCCCTGGAGGTATTACTTTCTTTGGCTTCTTTGGCTTCTTTGGTGGCTGATTTAAATGATATTACCTTGATATCTCAGACAAATAGAGGTTATAGGCCTCTGGAGTATATTATTTAAGCCCGGTGGTACACCTGATACTTATTTAGTCTTGTAAGCTTTCCTCACTACCACTATGCAGATACATGATAGGACTTGAGAGGCGTTCGTGAATAGTAAAGCACTGATCTAAGGATTATGAGATATATATGATGGATATTGAATCTTTTATATTTGGGTAAATCAACTTGATTAGCAGAAGGATCATGGAACTACTAGTGGTACTTCTATGCTCAATATCGTTGCCTACATATAAAGGACAATTAAAACCGATGATTAGAATAGATAGAGGCACTGACAGGGAATATGTAAAGGATATGCTATGCTTATATCTAGGTAGATATTTCTATTATCCAAGATCGTGACCTCTAATTAAACTATACAAATTGTACATATTCTGAAACACAAAGTACCGAGTACCTGAGACTCAGGCGTGAAGTAGCGGCAAAGGTGTGTACTGGGTACAAACTCCCGCGGCGACCACGGAAAGGGGAAGGGTTTTGCAGTTCCCCCAGCTCCGCGACTCTTATCCGCCCTCTCTTCCTTACTCCTATCATCAATCCACCTCAACCTCTCCGTGCCAATACACTCTTCCTGGTTGTAACGAATATCCCTCAATCGCCTACTTCCCCGCGGTATCCGAGGACCACACGTCAACATTTCGCCCAAGCCGTGTTGATTTGGAACGTCCCTCATTTTTCCCCTTCACAACACCACGCTCCGCCAGACATACATATAGTGCCCGTGTCTGATACGACTGTCTCCGGGACCTGTTTCTCGCTTTTTGTAATTGGCGGTTCTTGCCTAGGTGGTGGAGAGAGAAAAAAAAAACTCAAACGGCAGCACAAGTCGCAGGAAACAACGAAAGACCGGAACATCCTACAATCCTCTGAATACCCCGCAACAATGGACTTCATTATTTGGGCCGTTTCTAGCCTCTTCCGCTGGATGCGATTGAAGGTCTACCAGTATGAGGTGACCTTCTCCCTCTACATGCTTACTCCGATCGAGAAGCTCATCTTCAGTACGTCCCGCCTGTCTCCCATCCAAATTACTCTTGGCGCGCCATGCTGACGTTTAATTTCCTATATAGACACGCTGCTCCTTGGCCTCATTGCTATGATCGCTATGGGAACTTACATCTACCTCCCCGACCACCTCCGCGCCATCTACGGCCGCCTCTACTACTACTGGGCCGGCGAGCGCTTGTTCAGCTCCGGTCGGTTGTCCATCAGCTCGGTCTTTGGCGAAAATGGCATGGCCACGCAAATTGGGGATATGGTGTATGAAACGGCAAAGAATGCCGCTGCCACCTCGACCGAGCGCTTGGGTGAACTGTGAATACAAGCCCGACACGCATAATGGTTGCATTTGCATTCTCTATTACCGAGAGTGAGGAAGCGTCTAATGACTTTGGAGTTTAGTATCCAAGGGACCCTCGTATCCACTCCTGTCGGCCGGCGCTTGTTTGGAGTTCTTGTGTTCTGGGAACTTGCGGCATCCCTATGACTTGCATTGTCGCATTGCGGCGGATTACATTATTATTAATTCTTGTCTTTTCTTTTTCTTGGGTCCTTCGCACCACACTGTGTATAGATATGCCTCTTTCCCGGCAGATTTCTGTGGTCGATTGGTGCCAGTTTGTGTTATCATTGGAACGTGATCATGATTGAAGTTCATATTTTGCACACTTTTCCAGAATGATGTAGAGGAAATGTAGATAATATATCGTAGATGGTAAAAAAAGCAATATAATGTTGAATAATGCAACATAAAATGAAAACCCCCAAACGCCCTCGATGCCCAGAGCAGAGTGTTGTACAAGTAAACCCATCATCAGCACATGTGTAACTCCCCAGCGCGATGCCAATATTCTCCTCGGTAATTATGAATCCCCCAAACAAGAGGGAATGGAAACATCAATGGGTCCTTTTGCAAAGTCCTTTTGTTCCCCCGAGGGACTCAGACAACGAGCGCAAGTCATGTTTCAGACCATGCTACCAGCTCCTCCCAATCACAACCACCAATTGCAGTCTCATTGCTGACTCTCGGTTGCCTGGAGCTGTGCCTGCACCTGTGCTTGCGCTTGAGCCTGTGCCTCCGCCGCCTGTCTCTGCTCCCGCTTTATGGCATCCACCATGCGCATACGTGCCAATTCCTGGTCAATCTCCTCCTTATCCAGCGGAATCTTGTGCGATTGCTCGGCAGTGGGCCAGAAGCCCTTTGTGGCGAAGCGGTCGTCGAGGTTGGTACCGAAATAGTACATCCAGCCGATGGGGAAGAGGACGTACATCCCGAACTACATAGGCTCCGTTAGTCCCAAGAATAAGCGATGGAAGACGGGAGCTGAGATTGCCCGCTCAAGAGGTTTGATTGTCAGCTACGCACCTTGAGGACTTCGAGGTTGCCTCCCTGCAACTTGCGGAACATTTGCGACATTGTATGGGTTTGATGTGTTGCTTTTTTTTCGGGGTGTTTTGACTTCGGGTGTTGCTAAGAGTGTGGATTGAGATTCGGTGTTGTTGTTGTTGGAATGTGCTCAATTGATAATACCGCCTGATTCCAGCAGACAGAGAGCAGCAATAATTTGGAGGTTGATCTTCAATCTTCAATCTTCAATCGCCGAGTGGTGCCATGGTCGGTGGACCAGTCACGGGCTTGATTACTCGAACTTGAGCAAACAAGACAAACATTCGTTTCTTTTATGCCTCAGGCATCAATATGTAGGTTCACCGCGGGCCTCGGCTCCCCGCAAACTTAACTTGTACCCGGATACCCAACACCTGGGCATATATAGAAATAACTGATAAACCATTGCAATTCAGTTCAATTTCATGTTCCATTGATCAGTTTCCTCGTACAATATACAGTAACAATGTCGAACGAAAATCTCATTACTGTCACCTACCAGGATCGCGTAGCGATCGTGACACTCAACCGACCCGACAAGCTAAACGCTCTCAATGCCGACCTATACTACATCCTGGCCGAGCGTTTACGCGAAATTGACGCTCGAGAGGATATCTTTATCACAGTCCTGACCGGAAAAGGTCGTTTCTTCTCTGCGTATGCCATCCACAGACAATCCCGGTGCTAGTTATCCCAATACTTATGCTTTTTCCACAGCGGCGCAGACGTAACAAGCATACGTCCTGGCAGCGACAATGCCGACACAAACGTCCGCCGCGAGCTCGTCCGGGGCTTCGTCGCTAACAATCTGGATGCCACGCGCACCTTCTACACCCACTCCAAGATCCTCGTCGCTGCCCTGAACGGCCCCGCTGTCGGTCTTTCAGCCGCACTGGTCGCCCACGCTGACTTCATCTACGCCGCCCCGCACACATTCCTCCTCACCCCATTCTCCTCGCTAGGCCTCGTCGCCGAAGGTGGTGCTAGTCGTGCCTTTGTCGAGCGCCTCGGCATCGCTAAAGCGAACGAGGCGCTCATCATGAGTAAGCGGATTACTTGTGACGAGCTTGTTGCGACTGGCTTTGTGAATAAGGTTATCACGCCGGAGTCTGGGAAGAAGGATGACTCTGATGGGTTCTTGAAGAAGGTGCTTGAGGAGGTTGATGATCGTCTTGGTACACACTTGAACCAGACTAGTCTGTTGAAGATTAAGGAGCTGGTAAGACGGCCGGAGAGGGAGCTTCTGGACCGCCAGAATGGTGTTGAGGCGTTTATGGGCCTTGAGCGCTTTATGATGGGAATTCCGCAGGAAGAGTTCCGGAAGTTGGCGTCTGGTGAGAAGAGACATAAGCTTTAGTCGCTGGATGGTATTTTTGTATATAGATATCAGAAGTTATGGCTGCCTGTTCTAAGGCCTCACTGTGGTACCTACTTTTTCGCGGTGCTTCTTTCAGTAGAACCATCTATTAGGATTGAATATCTCTATGTGCCTTAATTTGTTCGTCAAGACAAAGAATCAAAGTAAGAAACATAATATCAGAAGAGGGCAATCCTTTAATCAAACCTCTCTGTTGGTTGGTATGATGTATGTAGTATACAATCGTTGTCTTTATATATATTGAGAAATGTCTATTGATTGAGGTAATTGTGATTACTAGTGACTGACGACCATTACATCCATGGATATATATTGATTTTTATTCATTGATAATGTGTGGATTGATTTGTAGTCCACGATGCGACCTTGAAATTCCCAAATATTTATTTCCCTGCTATACTTAAACGCCACTAGATCAATAATCCATGCTTTTATTCCACTCAGCATTCTGAGTTGAGATTATTTATTCAGAGTCACTGCCAGCAGCCCGATCCTCTTGCTCCTGCTTCTTTAAGATATCCTGCCACTGACCCATGAATTCACTCATGCCGCCAGGCCCCTCAAGTGAGGCATCGACCAGCTCCCTCGGCACCTTGTGGGCCGAATATTGAGTGGAGCTGAATGCATACGCCTCAGGATCATCCTTCTTGATAAGACGGAATTCAGGAAGGAAGGGGGCCTGCTCGTCATCTCCTTCAGCACCCGCATGTTCATCCTCCGAGTCGGAAGAACTCAAGTCGTCTTCTTTTTCAAGCTCTTCCGACGTGCCGGAAGTGATGACTTTACCATCTTGAAGTGAGATTCTCACAAACCCTTCCGCTCCATCATCTTCTTCCTCTTGCACACCAATCGGATCCTTCATCTGGAGAATCTCCAACCAACTGTACAGCAACGGGTCGGTACGTTGCGCCCACGGATTGATATCAATCAACCAGACACGTTGGTGTGGCGCGGGGATATAGACATCGAATACAAAGTTGGGTTCCGGGAAGGTGTTCTTGAGCTTCTCATCGAAGAATGACTGGATACGAGACCGAAGCATATCACGCATGGGGAAGAGGAAGTCGAAGTGATTCTGATCACGCTGCGTCAGGCAAAGCAGTACACGGTTGCGCACAAAGCACCGGAACTCAAGCGAAGGGTTGAAGTTGACATATTTGCGGAGAACCAGAGAATACGGAACGTCCGGCAGCGGTGAGTCAACGGTGGATGACGTGGGTTCGTCGTCGGTTGTATCCGGCACACAGTCATCGAAGGGGTGATCTAAATCATGGGTGATGAAGTCGCTGCTTTTCAGGAGGAGGTAGATGTCATTCGGAGAACGGCATTGGGTGTCGTTTGTGGCGGCCATGAAGGTTGCATCTTTGGGGGCACTCCAGTTTAATTTCGGTGTGACAATGCCACCAAATTCTGAGATGGTATTCTTGATCTGGGTGTGGATCTCTTGCCATTCTGTAGATGGATCGGGCTCCTCCTCGCCCGAATCTGAGAATGTGTCTAGGTTATCATCGTCGGTTGGGGCGACGGCCTCGGGTGGGAGAACAATGCCGTCGGCGCGGAGATATTTAACGAAAGGAGCAGTCAATGGAATGACACGCGACTTAGGAGCAAGTGTGCGATAGCTAGAACTTCGGTCAGATATGTTGTATGATGGGTGTTGAGTCATATGGAGGCTTACCGCGGATGCCAGTCATGATAAGAGCAATGCAAGATATGAGAGTAGGTGGTGGGTGGGAAAGGCAGGCGATCTGGGAGATCGTTGGATGATGTCTCTGCCATAGGAGCGTCCGATTCGATCAACGGCATATTGAATATCGTTTGTGTAAAGTATAAGATCGTCCGGCGACGACCGATTTCCCCTCGGTGGCGGGGAACTTTTTCTGCCATCACGTGACGATAACGATAAGAACGAGTGCGCAGGGGTCTAAGGCGCTCAGGCATCCGTCTCGCATTAATTACTTGTTCTCTGTAAACACGGTCTTACTACATATCCCGCCAGCATGGCTCCTGAGGCCCCTGATCCTCAAAGCCTGAAGTCATGGCAGGATGCATTCCAATACCCAATTCCCACGGTCCGCCGCGTGGAACAGGAGCTGCGCCGGGACATCGCGAGCAATAAGGAGAAGCTCCGAGCTCTCGTGGGGTAGGTGATTGATTTGCGAAGTAGCTGTCCCTTTGCTAATACTGATATAATCTGGTTATAGAACGCGGTACCGTGACTTGGTTGGAACTGCTGAGACAATTGTGGCTATGAACCGAGACATTCAGGACGTGGAATCCATTCTAGCCGATGTTGGACGCCGGTGCAACCCCCGACTTATAGAAAGGAAGCATGTTCACGTCCGTCAAATAAAGACTGGCGATGCAGAGAAAGGTACAAGCTATCCTAGAGAAAATCAGGAACCAGTAGCTGATACTGTGAATATAGACGCAGAGAAACACGCATTCGGAGCGCAGCTTTCTCTCCTTCACCGCTGTACAACCTCTATCAGCCGGCTTTTGCGACTTCGCAGCTCGCTCCTGTTAGTTGCAAAGATTCTGGTTGTCTCCAGATCACTACACAAGGCGTTATCGAAACATGAATCACCCCCTCCATTCCTTGATGATCTCTGGAAGCAGGTAGCGTCCCTTCGGCAAACACTTCTCAAACGGATTAATAAACGTCTTGCCTCTACAAGCGCTACAGAAGACACTATCATTGAATCATTGGCTGCATATTGCCTTGCAACAAGCTCTTCTTCCGATGATGCGATCCATCATTTCCACCAAGTGCGCCTGGACATCATCGTTGGCCAGTTGGATATGTCTCGTGAGAACATTCCCAGAGCCCTCCAGCTTTTTGTTCGAACACTTCAGGCCTCAAAGGTCTTGCGATCCCACCGATTCTCAGATGTGCTCTTGAAGCTTAAAGCTCGACCCCTCCTCGCCGACCCGGAGATTCAGAGTCTAGATGGGCTGGAGGTTGAGGTTCTTGGCCGCTGGGTAGCCCCAGACGTGAAGAATTTCACCCCTTGGATCAAACTTAGCGAACTAAACAGAACCCAGGGCGTGGAATCAATCAAGGAATGGTCACTCCAGGCTTTCAAGAAATTCTCCGAAGGCTGCCAAAAGAGCCTAGCCCACAGCACCGATTTCTCTGAGCTCCTCTCGCTCCGCACAGAGACTGTGGAATTGTGGCTATCATCCTGGAGCTCAACGATCATCCACGGCTCAGTGGATGTCCTCGAAAGCCTTCGAAATATCTTCAATGAGCAGCTCTCCGGAATACTGAAAGTGAAAGCACAAAGCCTAGGCGAAGTCGGTACTCAAGTTTCGTCTATAATATCAGACTGGGAAAACACCGACCACAATTCCGTCGGATCTCTATGGGATGCTGATCTCATCACCGCAGAATACACGAACGGCGCACAAGCATTCAAACAAACTGTCGCAGACAGATTATTGGGTCGTGACGAAGACGTGTCTACCATCCTTATGAAGTATCAAGCATGGCTGGCATCAATCCAACAATTCAACGAATCCATCGACTCTCTACGCCGCACACGATGGACAGATATCCTCGTCGGAGGCGAAGTCGAAGATGAAGATATCGATATCACACCTCGACTCAACGAGGACGACCCCCGCCACTTATCTGATTCTCTGCATTCTGCCGTTCGCGACGCATTCGCCAGTCTCCAGACATCATTCAGCAGCGCTTTCAAATCATTCACTCCCTCGCATTCAAGTGAAAAAGCTACTTTCCTCCTGAGACTTATACGACTAGTCCGGCGAGATGTTCCCACCGGCTTTGTATCTGCAGACTTTATCTTCTCGAGCGAAATCGTCCCTGATCTACAGAATTTGCTCGCAATAGAAGTAGTCGCCAAGGCTGGTTCGCTGAGGTTGATCCCGTCCCCGAAGAGTAACCCTCAAACAGGCAAAATTAAGACCGTGCCTGGCCGATCACTCTGGGAAGGGGAGCCCGCCATACCAGTTCAACCTTCGGCTTCAAGCTTCAAGCTCCTGCGCCGTCTCACTTCATTGATGGATACCTGCGGATTGGACCTGTGGGATCCGTCCACTGTGCAGGCGTTGAAGCAGGAATTGAAAACGAAACTTGAGGCGGCTATCTCGGCTGCTTTGGATGATCTCGATAGTGAAGATGTCCCTAGCAAGGCTGAGACTAAAGAGGACCAGCCTCCTGCCAACGGAGATGAGGAAAAAGAAGATGAAACCGAGGAGAAACCAGAGACCCCAAGTCCGGATCCAGATCAAGTCGAGGGCCTGCGCGACTGGAAGGTTCAACTCTTCTTCGACTCTCTGTATCTGTCTCAGATGCTTGGCGAGCGAAATCAGCTGGCTGGTGTCGTCGATCGTACCCAGAAGAGCGCTGGTTCTAGTGCGGATACTGTTAAGACTATCAAGAAGCTGGCTGCTGAGTATTGGACTCGGACAGAGCTGTTGTTTGGTCTGTTGGCAGGACACTGAGCGATTCTTTAAGATAATGCTGCATCTTGCCAAACGTCCGTCTATGCTTTACATTACCCCTTTAAGCAGCAGTAGATACATACTGTACTTGAGTCTATTTCTAAGAGAAGATACATTGGTTACATAGTACACAGACAAGAATCTATTACAGAACATTTAGACAAGATATTCATACATTTAACTTCATACAATCGTAACTCATCCTACCATAAAATGATCTCACGCCAGATATTAAGAAATCCCCCTCATTTCACACAGATCATGACCCGATAACTTTTTTTTGCCGAGATTTTGATTTTCAAATGTTTTTGCAGTTTTCTGTTGTCGAGCTTCCGCTCGTCAATCATGGGAGGGAAAATACCCGTTATCGGTCAGCAGTCTTCGCAATAATCTCAACCTGAGACCGAATGATTTCAATCTCGCGCTGAACAGCCCAGAGGGCGCGCTGGGCCTCACGGGCTGAGCTACCGAGATCCCCAGCCGGAACGGTCATCATACCCTCCTCAATGCCCTTGGGAGACCAGTGCTCAACAATGTATTCAAGCTGACCGTCGATCGGAAGAGTGCGTCCGCGAATGATGGACAGCTCTTCTAGCTTCGTGGTGGACCAATTACTGTCGAATTGTTGTCTCCACCGCTCCCTCAGTTGTCGGAAACTGTCCAGCACACCCTCGAGAGACATGGCGATCTTCATACCGTCGGTGAATATCACTTTGCGCATGTGTATTTTATCTCGAGTTGGCCAAGTAGCCGCGGGTAGGACGCTCATGCGTCTCATGCACACCTCATGGAAGTGTTGGATAAGTTTGCCCTCGCGGGTTTGTGCTCTGCAGCGGTTGTTCTCGAGGACCTTCATCACCTGCCGCCAACGTCGCTGAAGATTCGTGATCATGTCGAGCTCGTAGCCGGTGTATTCATCGACTTGCCAGTCTTCTTCCAGTCCCATGGATAGCGGGTTCTCGGCAATGTGTGATATTTGCAAGATATCACTTAGCTGGGCGAATTTGGCGTTGCCCTGCGTGAAGGACCGCAGGAAGAGAGGAGCAGACTTTCTATCATCAAGCGCAATTACGCAAAGCTCGTCTTTGTGGTTGTAGGCCGCATACTCGCGGATGCAACTTTGCCGGAACCTATCACTGTTGGAAAACTCCAGTGCCATTCCCGGTAGAATAAGGGATGAGCGAAGCGTCTAATTTATTGTTTAGCATAATTAGCCAAGCTTATTTTACCAAACGTTGGCATAAGTAAAGACACATACCTTATTGACTGTCTTCTCCATTTCCTTGTAGCCGACTGGCTGCTTGGGCCAATGGTTTAAGTTGAGGTTGACGGTCGTCAGAAGCTCAGTGCAGCGCCGTTTGATAATAGGGATTGGAAGATTACTGCGGCCCAGTCCTTGGAACCTCAGAATGCCGTTAGTGAGCCCACTTTCGACCTGTTCCATGAGGCCACAGAAGCTGATGACCATGTTCATCAAGTCGGTTGTTTGCACTCGGATTTCTCTGTCCTTGAACCCATAGGCTTTAGCGGGAGATTGCATAATTGTCGAAAGATGCTGCAGAGCCCAGGACCAGGGAATTACAATACCCCTTCCTGGATTGGCAATACAAAGCTGCACGATATTAGTAACTTGTTATATCGTTGACGATATTTGGGAACACACAATGTACGTAGCTGTAAATTCGAGCACAGAAAGGACAGCATGGAGTGACCCAAGGGAGGATTTGGGTGTTCTCTCAAGACATTGGACAAAGGCACTGATGCCGTTGTGCTATACAAAGGTTAGTATAGTTGGCTAAATAATGTAGATTAATGTCTCACAAAATCTTGAGCATGGCGTCTTGCAACCGCTGACCGAATTCTCTCAGCAGCATTCAAGGCTGTCAAAGGCAACATTAAAGGATCGCCGGATCGCCTAGGGCGCGGTGGCATGTTGCGATCCATATGTAAAACGAGTGCTCGCTGAAAGCGCGTAGCTGGGTGAGGGCCTGCAAATTTAGATTGGCTATTAGAGCTAGTTGTCTTTCAAAAAAGCAAGTTCATCCTACCGAGAATTTGAGCTTCTTGGACCTTCTCTAGAGAAGAACTCAGACTGCTCATCGAGCTCCACTCCTTGTTCATGCGATAGAACAATAGTTCTTCAAGGCAATATGCAGTTGCAGCAAACTCTGGATTGCTTTGCAAGTTGGAACGCAAATTTGCAATTGCAGTAGAGGACTGCTCCAGGGAACTAACAATCACTAGCTCCTCTTGGAGTTGTTGGATCCAAGTTCTCCCTATAGTATGTTAGATCTGAGACGTACGGCAAAGTTGGACAGATCACTTACTACGACCCAGGAATGGTTTGCTAAATGCCTCACCCATGACTCTTTGATAGTAAATAGGCGTGAGCCGCGCAAAAACTTCAGCAATGGTGAGAAGGCACTGCGGGAGTCAGCTGTTAGTTGATCTTTTAGTTATTCATTCTATGTTTCACTCACATTCAACTTCGAAATGGCGAATTCTGCAGTAGGCTTCTCATGACCCCAGAAGCATTCATTTGCCTTAAGCTTTGAACAAAATCCTGGTTGAAATCATTAGGCAGTTTCGAACGATGGCGTGAATGGGCATAGCTTACCTTTGTAAAGCTGTTGGAAACATGTGGGCGGAAATTCCTTCTTCATGAGACTGTATGCATTTTCATGGAACTGAGTAAGTGCTGCAGCCAATTTGTCTTGAATGAAATCCTTTGCAATGTCAAGCAAGTTATCGAATGAAGACCCATCAAGAGGCGTTGCTGTGTAAGTCCTCAACGGAGACCAGTGAAGCAAGATCGTCTGGTTCTCTTGCTTTGGGTTGGTAAAGATGCCACAAGCCATAGCCATGGAACTGAGAGAGTACTGGCTCCGGGAATAAAAGTCCTGCAGCAGCTTTCCAACCCGGATGACAATATCCATGGGAAGGTGTTCGACTTTTTGCTTGTTGAAGACCGACGGCTCGAAGGCGATCACCTGAAAATAATTAGCTCGCTGCCCAAAAATGATGTCGAGGATGAAAGCGAACAAAGAGACAGAAGATATCTTTCAAAAGACCTTTATCCAGGTTTTTAACTGAAGCAGGTAAGTCCACGTCGTCAAAATCGTCGATCAACAGCAATAGCGTTTTCCACTGAGCTCCAAGTTTTTCGAGATAAGTCGACTTGACTGATTTCAGCAGCCCATCTCTCTCAGGTTTGCCCGGAATTAAGTCTCTGTGGGCATACAAGACTTCGACCATGGAATAATTGAACAATTTTTCGACAACTGGCTTGTCGACCACTGGCATCAATTTGTGAACCAGCAATGTGCTTATCGCCGCAGGAATTTCACCGACGGCCACTGACAGATCGTAATATTCAAACCATCGGGACTTTGATGAGTAGAGCGCACGCAACTGGTCCCACATTTCAAACTCTTTGAAGAAAGCGATCTTGGACACATCTGATCCAAGCATGTTGATGGTTATCGCCCTCAGACTGGTAGAGACACGTCCCTGCTTTAGCAGGATATTGCATAATCTCGAGTAGCGAAGCAAGGTGGGTTCGCTGAGATACTCGCGGTTCCTATGCAGAGTTAATATCGTGTAATCAATATATAGAGAAATATATGTAAAAACCTGTTGGCATAGGTGACCAGTTCATCGAACTGGTCCCCGCGGCGCAAGACCTCGATTGCAGCCTCGTATTGACCACAAGAATGATAACACTCCGAAGCGTCGGTGAACATATTGCCTTTCTCATAGAAAGATGCAGCCTTTTGATATTGTTGACGATCCTTCCAAATTTCTAGAAAAGAGGTCAGTACTCATCAGGCTCGATGTAATTGAAAAACAAACCTGCAACTTTGCCAAACTGCCCAAGGCCCTCGTAGCACATCGCCGCTTCTGCGATAAGACCTATCTCTAAGAAAAGAACAATAGCTTTCTCATAGCAAGCGGTAAATTCTTCCGTATTACCAGCTGCTCGGTGGGATCTTCCTTCTTGCTCGTACAAACAGGCTTGCGAGTGTGTCATTCCCCGGGGATCATTCGCCTTCTTGTAGCAAAACAATGCCTGTTTAACTCTGATTAGCACCGAAACCTTTTCCGGCTTGTGATAGTATATTACCTCCGCAAAGCTCTTCCGATGGAGAAGATGTGCTGCTCTCTTGAGCCACCTGTCTGGGTCCACTGAGCCCCCGGCCCGCAGAACCATGATCTTTGCCGCAACCTGTGAGAGATGAGATGATTGCCTGAGCCATCTGGATCAGAAGCAGACTTACATTAGGGTCTTTCTGTTTCACAACTTCAGCGAGCTCGAGGCTGTTGCTCTGTGAGAGTGTTTGAAGAACGGGGTCAATGCTGTTCTCTTGTGTCTCCATGAACCAAAGCTGTTTTCTGGCTCGTGTAATGGCAACATAAAGTGACTAGTTATCATTATTAGCAGAAGGAAAAATTAGGAAAAGAACAGGTATATACCTTAAGTTCAGAACACAAAGCCTAGTTGGACATGTTAGCAATCATAACGGGTTGGGTATTTCGTGAAATACTCACCGCATGCTTCTGCGAATCAAACTGTGCTCGTGCTCCGTGAACAAGCATGTAAAGGCAGCGGTAGCTACTTCCAAGTCCACTGCTGCCGAAGAAGTCATATACCAAGACATCATCAAACTCCATACCCTTGCTTTCTAGGATTGTCAAGACAAGGGCAATCTCGCCAATTTGAGTTTGCAGTTTGTCTTTTGATGCATCATCTCGGACAAGGATGACTTGCTCGGCGCCAAAGTCGGCGACCTTGTCGTTGAGCTTGACAAGGCCAATCATTTTGGCAGAAAGGATGGAGGAGTCAAATCCCGCTGTGACAAATGTTAGCGATTGAACGCGGGCAAATATAGCGATGCGACATACCAAAGATTATTGGCTTCGGCCCTCCAATATAGCCAATCTCTGGGTCCAATTTGTCAATCGTTTCCGGGAATCCTATGCATAAGACGTTAGATAGAGACAATTTTGATCTTTTAAATTTCTCATACCTTGCCAAAGTAGCTGCATCACCCATGATGCGAAACTTAAAATGCCCTGATGCGAGCGATAATTCTTCGCCAGAGAGAATTGAACTGGCTTAGCAAATGAGGGCTGATTGAGTTCATTGGAAATGACTTCGTAATATTCGTAGAACAGAGCCTTTATCTCAGGGAAGCGGAAGACCGAATCTTTGGAGATGCATTGGGCTGTATCACCAGCTAGGTTCTGTTAGTTGATTAAGCTTGTGGATCAACTCTGAGAGACCTTACCGAGATGAATCCCACGGGCGTCACTGAGGCAGCCCAAAAGTAAGACAACGTCGAGACAACGCAAGTCTTGGATCTCTAAACACGCAGTTAGTTGGTTGCCTTTGAATATCAAAGTAAAAAAAACCCACCATCAACATAGATTTCCTCGAAGCAGCGCTGAATCTGCTCCGCTAGAGTTTTGTGATTTCTCAAAGACTTCAGCAAGGCACTGACACGGTCCAACTCGTCGATCTCTTTGCGAAGCTTCTTTTGCTTTTCATAGCGCTCAAAGGCTCCAAATACTTTCTCACGCTCTGCTTCAGAAGTAAAGGCGGGAGAAGCTTTCGCATTTTTCTTGACATATTCTGCGCGGTACAACGGTTTCAGGCTTTTTGCCGTGACGCTGGAACCTTTAATGACACCCATGATCTCTGCGAAGAGGAGCTCTGGAGAGCAAGATGGTGGAGCCAATCCACCTAGAGAGCCCCAATATTCCGTTTTGAAAATGCTGAAGTCAATCACCCGTGGCTTGTCTCCCGCTTGTGGTTCCAGATCCTTTGTCTTGTTGGGATTGATATCTCGTAGGAAATCCTTTCGATCAGCCATTCTACTTCAAGTTAGCGAGGAAATATTGACGAGTGTGATATCGGATATATTCAAACCTGATGGTATTCTCCAGAAGCTCAAGGAATTCGTCGTATGTACAGACGACCGGGAAATGCCAGTTCTTCAGGGCAAAGAATGAAGTCGGTTTCAAGTCCGAATCGACATCTTCTTCGGCCGAAAGTGCCTTAGATTGAGCATCGATCAAACTTTTGGCATATGTTTGAAGCTTTGACGCCAGATAGGAGGAACGAGTTAAGAGAAGCTATTCATGTCAATTTTCCATCCGCCGGTGTGAGAAGAGAGAGAGACATACCTGTCGAGCTTGCTGCCCATCTGAGGCTGACTGCCTTGCTTTGTGCTTGGCAAGCATCTTAAACAGTAGACAGGTGGTTTTTCCTGTACCGCTTCGTCCTAAAATCAAACTCGAAGTGCTGAAGTGCTTGACAATCTCTAATTCTTCCGGCGAGAGATCAAACGGGAACTCTTCCGTACCATTCTCATCCATTATTGACTTCAAAAATGGCTCAGTGAGGTTGTAAAACTTGTCTTGAAAGTCATGGTTAGTTTACAGCTTGTAGGACTCGGGATGGATTGGTGGGGAGGAATTCATACTTGACATCTCGATCAAAGCAGGGCTGGTCTTGGAGGAAGAAATCGATCTCATTTGGTTATACCCAGTCTCCTTCACGTTCTGGAACCGTTGTGGTGTCCAGGTTCCGTCGGACTGTTCAACTGGCCGTTCCAAACAGAGCCGAGCAAGCTGAGGAGTGTAGGATTCTTGAATCGAAATTATTTGCTCAATGGAAGTTTCCAGCTTTAAAACTCAGTTAGCAGATTTCTCATATTGTTGGATTTTAAAACATACCTCCTCTTCCAAGGTCACGATTTGCCAAACTGCCCAAAGTCAGCATAGATCCGTAAGTCTCGATAAAATAGCTAAGGACAATTACCTTTGACGATCTGCTGCTGCACCCATGGAAGTTCATCGTAAAAGCCGACATCAACCTGCCACAGGATTGACACAGTTGTGGAAGCGCTCACTTCCAAGATAGGAACTTGCATTCTTTTTTTCTGTTGTTTAGATCCCACCCGTCGAGATAGATCTTTCCCTTTCCATTCGCCGCTTGCCAAATCTCTGAGCTTTTGTTCAACCCCGCCAAAGTCTCCTAGATGAGGTTAGAATTGAGCAAATTCCGTAAGCTGGAGGAAAACAGGTGATTGACATGCCTCCGTGGACTAGTTTCTTTGCATTCTTGAAAGCGATTTCAGATAGCAAAACCTTCCATAGACCGACTCGTATTCCGAAAATGTCCTGGGCACTGCCCGGCGCTGTAGTTCGATCCAAGGGCAGGTCTGCTGAGCTGGCCAGAGTGCCTGCGAGACCGCCAGTAGTGAGCCTATCCAAACAGATTCTGCATGGAAAGCTTTCCAGGGCAGAGCGCATAAGCGCGGGGATTATCTCGTTCTGGAGCTGCTCCCCTGAATGGGTGAGGCCTCGGGCGGACAATGGTGGGGGGAGTTTGAAATGGTTCATCCGTTGAAGGATCTCCTCTGAGACCTTGAACTCGTTCTCGCACTCCTTCTTGGTGCCTTGCTTTGCTGGAATCGACTTCTTGTCTTCCCGATTCAGCACTTTCATTGATTCCAGCGGAGGCAGATTTTCTACCTTGACTCGTTTCAATTCTTGTTTGTAGGACGTGTCAATCAGCGAGTTGATCGATTCGATCAGTTTCTGAGCATTATCCCAGCTCTCAACAATACCACCCGTTCCGTGATCAGCAGAACAGGCATTGCACATGGAAATTAACCTGTCTCCGACCTGCCTGGAGAGAGCTATGGGAAGGTGGTTCCTTTTTGATAGCAACCATTCCTTCAAAACCACAGTGTATTTTTCGTTGGCCACAAGGTGATCGAATAGGTCGTGTGAAGAGAGGAGGGTGTTGGTAATGTCACATAGAAATTGAGAGTGTTGTTTGGTGATGAGAGGTAGTGCGGCTCCAACGAGTTGGATCATCTGTGACGGCGAGAAGATATTATCGTGAACAAACGGGAGGACCATGGTCTTGAAGATCTCCTCGGCAACAGGACTTGGTAGCTGCTTTGCCCGTAAGATATCGAAGGATCTCAAAAGACGTGAGTGTGTCTGGTCAGGTTTGAGAACAAGTTGATCATGGATTGCTCCATCTTGCATGGCTCGCTGTAAGCGAGTGTAGTACTTTTCGACATTCGAGAGAGCATGGTTGTATTCGTGAAGTCCAGGCTTCTCCTGTAGCAAGATCAAGGTCCACGGGGTCTGTATAGACGCCATCGTGGTGTCAGAAGACTCGATTCTTGTTGCTTACAGTTTGGGAAGTTGGTTGACACAATGGGGACCGATAGAGGCGTCAGACTCCAGGTGAGGGACAGTTTTATTTTTGGATTTTCTGGGGGATTTTCTCGTAATCCGAACTAGGACAGGAAATTGTATGGTTAGGAAAGCAAGTCGAAGACAAAACAATGTGTTCACCACTGTCTGGTCAATTGATGACTTGAAGTGATAAAGATCAATGTGCGTGGAAGAGGTAAACAAGGAGGAGAGATGGGTGGACGAGAGAGAGGTAGAGAAGGAGAGAGGTCGGGGTCATATGGCCAGACGCGTGCCTTCCAAATCAGAGATGCCCCTCAGACGTGTACAGTCGCTCCTTCCCTAAAAGCTCTTTGTCCTAAACAAACACAAACATCTATGGATGCATTGCAAACATTAGACATCTCCACGCTCATCTCCAAATTCAGAATTGTGGGGGCCCAGACAATTCATGAAAGTCACTATATACTACCTGGGGATAGCAGGTGTCCGTCCAATGTGTAGTGTTTAATTACCCCTCTACGAGAGAGAACAGTCAATCTTTGAAGAATGGCATACCTTCCAATATGGGGCCAGCCAAGCTGCACTCGTAGGGCTGCCGTTATTTGAAAGTAAAGAGTCCTTAGCAATATAGTCATAGAGGTTTCTCACAAGTTCATATCTAGAAAGCATACTCCCGGTTTGTAGAATATAGTACTTCGTTGCACTTGCACCTACCCGGGATAACATACTAGTAGAGAGGTCTCCCCCAGCATGCTTTGTCATGGTCAGTACGGTCTTTAAACAAATAATCTCATATGATTCATGGAAGAAGTCGTAATGCGAAAGGTTAGGTCTTATCTAGTAGTTTTCCACTTGTATCTAGCGTTCATTGAGCTTGGAGTTTGCATTCCTGAATGCGGAACCATATCTAATATTTCTTCTTAGGACTTATAGTATCAAGAGCACCATTTCAGTCACATCACACAGGTCTACTAGCAAAATGATTGCAATAGGATCATCTTGTGATTTATCAGAAAAATCGAACCTGTTATACTTCCACAAAATCGGGGAAAGTAGAAAATAGAAGGCTGAAGTATTATGGCGTGTCTAAGCAGGGTAACACAGAGCCCTCATAGATGTGAGCAACAAACACAGGCAGGTCCTACGCAGCAAACCAAAGAGCTTCACAGAGATCTTTCTGTTTGGTACTTGATGCTGTATCTAGTCCTAGCACATGTACTTCTAGCCGTTGAAAATATTTTGTACTGGCCAATGAGAATTCCAACCTTGAGATACCAAAAATAAATCCAAATTACATCTAAAAAGACATGGAAATAAGTATTACAAAGGATATTAAAAGGACATATCAACAGTATTCATAAGAAATCATTGCCGAATAGTAATCATAATGTCAATAATCTTCTTCTGATATATCAATTAAAGAATGGAAATTAAGTACTTGAGGAGACATAATCGGTGAACCCTAAAAGCCAACAGGACCAAAGAGATATGCACGAAGATACATACGCAGCTCGGGCACAAAGTAGACTCAAGCTCCTTTGTCCAGGATTATCAACCAATCAGATCTGCCCGAGGTCGGATAGCTCAGCTGGAGAAGCTGGGGGTGCATTGTTCTGATTTTTATACTGAAGTTCATCACATCTCAAGGAATTCGACTTGAGAACATATGATCTAATTGTAGAGAATATTCCGATCTCTTGCCCATGTCTATATGTGAAAATTAAAATCAAAATCAAATCAAAACTTCATCAAAATCTCCTACCGGCACGTGGAAAGCTGACTAATCATGCATCACCGGAGACGGAGGTGACGTTGATTATTCCCCGCGGGAAAGAAAGTTAGCTTCTGCATATGTCGGTTGTCACCATGGCCACACCGAGGCTGCCATTCCTGTATCCAAATTTGATGCGCGCGGTGCGGTCATGCGAACCGAGAACATATCGCTCACTTAGAATCCCATACCGGCCCACTCAACGCTTCCATACGAGCCAGCAACGGGAGCGCGATTCCTATCAGCGGCGATATGGTCCAGCTGTCGAACCGAGTGCCACACCTTCATTGCGTCCGAAGAAGGGCTCATATGACCAGGTGCAGGAGGTGCCAGAGGGTCCATCGGCTGGACACGAAGCTGTAAATGCCTCCGAGCAGGAGGAAGCTTCGCCCGAAGAGTCACAGTCGGAACCGCCGCCACAGGAAGCCGAGCAAGGCACCGCAGATATCGCTTCTTCGGAAACCCCAGCTCTAGACCAACAAACTGAATCCAAAGCCGAACCCAGGGAAGACAACCCCCCTACGGACCGGGAACCGCACGAGGAGCAAGCAAAGGATATAGATGGTGCCGAACAGGAACAGCCTTCAGCTTCTTCGTCCCCTCCTTCCGAAAACGCCCCGGGAGAAAATACAGATAAATCTTCGTTTACAAGCCAAACTCCGTTCGAGGACGTCCTCCACATGCCCTCGCCGTCTGTTTACCTAACCCCAACCGGGGAACCCTCCTCCGAGGGTCGCCCACCACATTTGTCCCCAGCACCGTATGTGCACCCTTTCGACACATATTCGTTGGTACAGGATCTGTCAAAAGGAGGATACAGCCAAGAGCAGTCTACTACAATCATGAAAGCCGTGCGGGCTATCCTACAGAACAACCTCTCCCTGGCCAGGGAGAGCCTTACTTCCAAATCCGATGTCGAGAATGAGGAATATTTGTTCAAAGCAGCCTGTTCTGAGCTTCAGTCATCGCTTCAGACAGCCCGCAACTCGGAAATACAGCATCAGCGTTCATCGCGTACACAATTACAGCATGAAACGGATATAATCTCGCAGCGTCTCAGTCAGGAACTTGCAGGCATGAAAGATGACATCAAGGGGATGTTCAATGATCACAAGATGACCACGCGAGAGCAGCAGCGGAGCATTGATACCTCAGTTCAAGAATTGAACTACAAGATCACCGTGTCATTGAACAGCGATGGGAAGAGCGAAATCGAAGGTCTTCGATGGATTTTGACCAGACGTGCTGCTTTGACCATTGCCATCTGTGCTTGTAAGTGCTCCGTCATTCCTAATTGGTTCTTTCGTGTAGCTAACTCGATTATAAGTCATGATCATCGTCTTCTTGAAGTATGCTTCCACGCGCAAGGTGTCTGAGCCCAAGCAGGCTAAGCAAGCGGAGAAGCCGGTCGTCATCAAAGAAACCGCGACTGAAACCCGAGCCATCCAAGATGGTGGTATTCAGACAGACGTCCCGTCCGCTGATGCACATCTTGGCGAATCCCTTGGTTGAGATCTTGAACATAAACCCTGTCTTGATCCACCTCCTTTCATTATCCACTTAACATTCCCACTCCCCATGTCTTATAATCCTCTTTTCTTTCATTTGTCTCCGGTCTCATGTATGCATATACTTGACCGGGCTCTTTTACACTCCTTGTATCACCACCAATTAGACAAAAGCCGATATATATTTGATTACATAACAAGGCAAACCCACCTGGGCACCTGGGCACCTAACCAGGTATATACAACAGACTCAAATCACAAAAATCACATTTTCATTTCCGCACATCAAAGCTCAGCCTTTAAAAACTCTCGACTATTCCTTAACCCAAGGCACCTCCTCGGGACGATACTTATAAGCCCTAAAAACGGCATTGCTAAGATAATCAAACCCAATCGCCTCCATCTCGTCCAACTCCTCTTTTTCATAACCCCCTTATAATTCCCCAGCTGCGGCACAACAAACTCCCAAACAACCTCACCCCCTTCCGTAACCTCCATAACCCGGCCACTAGCAGCCTCACAAACCAAAACATTCCCCCCAACCAACTTCTGCGCAGACCCCATAAACGGCGTAAAGAACCCTAAACCTCCTGTCGAAAAGTCCTTATACTCCCACTTAACAACCCCCTCCTTCGAAACAACAATCGCCCTCGAAAACGGAACCGAAATCCCAGGCCTGAAAACACCATTATCAAGAATCAACATATCCCCAGCCTCATTGATCTCATGAGCACAATGCTGTTGGCTAACAACCGGCGCACCAAGATGCCATTTCACCGCACCCGTAGCACGACTAATAACAAAAACACTCGACGCATTCCTTGACGAAGCAATAATATCTCCAGCAGAATCAAACGAAACGCTATTGATGAGCGGCCAGTGGTCGCGCGTGTAGTGGTCATGTGCAGCAAAGACAGTAGGATCAAGATGGTCGATTGCGCGCCATGACCAGAGGAGCTTGGCGCCGGTTTGGCCACCGCTGCCGTCGAAGTCTGCAGAGGAAGAGGTGGTGCTTGTTGACCACGGCTGAACGAGTTTTATGCAGTCAGCGTAGATGACGCCGTTTGGGGCCTCGGAGGATGGGATCCCGCCTTGCACGCGCGCTGCTTCGGCGCTGGTGAGTGGTTCAAGCGTTGTGTATAGGATTGTGCCGTCGTCGAGGTGGTTTTGGTCGTGGTGTGCGAGTGGATCGCTGTATTGACGTAGGATCTCGCCCTGTGGGCTCACTTGCATCATTACACCACCCCGGTACTTCGCCCACATTGGGAAGAGGTTCGGGGCATCTGGGTGCGCGCCGTTGTAGGCTAGGTTGCCGTCGGGGAGGATGCGGGCGTGGCGGCCGGCGCGGTGTGGGAGGGTCCAGCGGTGCACTTCTTTGCCTGTTGTTGAGACTAGGTGTGCGGTGTTTGAGGTGAGAGGTGCGTATAGAACGTAGCCTGGAGTGACGCGCTCGGCGTCGACTCCGCGGAGACCGAGCCCTCGGCGGCGGAAGGTGTGCTGCTCCATTGGAGATGGGTCAATTGATTAAGGAGGTTATTGAGGAAGTTGATTTGAAGAAAAGAAAAGCAATGCAGATGTAGGGGACTTTATGTTTGGCGAAATCGAGGCAAGTGGATTATACTCGTTGTTTCTTAGGGCATCCCGGAGCGGCATGCCGCGGTATGCCGCGGTCGATAAGTATTAGCCAAGAGACATCCGATATGGCGCGAGATAAGCCCAATCATGGATGATAACAGGCATAGTTCAGTGTGTAAGATGTTATCGACGAACAGATGATGAATAGAAAAGGGGATATTGTGGAAATATAGAAAGGGCAGTGTTTCCCCGGCTTATAGTCGCAAATTGACAAGTTCACTTGACTTTTCTGTATTGGGCTACTCGTCGAAATGAATAATTATAATGAATCTATACAGAAACCACAGTCTGAAACAGAGACAGTGAAGCCTCATCGACCATTCTTTAATGGAAGATTCTCTATTGAAGAAGGTGGCATCGAACGGGTCACCGATGAAGAACGACAACAGAATACAACCAAGTTCTGGCATGCTGCTACATTTTGGTAAGATCGATATCTGAATGAATAGATATCACCGCTAACATATCGTTTTCCATGTACAGGTTCAGCGCAAACATGGCCGTAGCCACCCTCAACATCGGCTCCCTGGGAGGTTCTCTCGGGCTTCCCTTCTGGGACTGCTTCATCGTTATTCTCATAGTCAACATCACAAGCAACTTGCTACCAGCCTGGACATCTGTATTTGGATTAACGGGGCTACGGATGACAACCTTCTCGTGAGTAACGACTTTCTATTATTAGCCCTCTGCACCGAACGTCCCACTAACACCCGAATCTTCTCAGCCGATACTCATTCGGCTACTGGGGGAACATGCTCGTCGTCATATTCTCCATGGTCGCCACAACAGGCTGGAACGCAATCAACTCCATCTCCGGTGCAGCCGTCCTACACGCCGTCTCAGACGGCCGATTCCCTATCTGGGCAGGCGTGATTGTGATCTGTGTGGCTGTCTGGGTTATCTGTGTTCTGGGCATTACCTGGATCCATCGCCTCGACACATATATCTGGATCCCGCCCCTGATTGTGTGGTGTGTCGCAGCTGGGACGGGTGCTTCCCAACTCACCGGTGAGGACCATTCGCGTCTTCAGGGCTCAGATAAAGCTGCTGCGATCCTTACTTTCATGGCTTTGATTTTCTCCTTCTCAGTCTCCTGGGTGAATTGCGCGGCCGATTATAATGTGCGCATGCCTAAGGATACGCCGCGCTGGCAGATCTTCGGTGCTACCTATGTCGGCATATCCGTTCCTACTGTGCTTGTTCAAACTCTTGGTGCGGCTTTGTATACAGGTACTATGACCAATACAGCGTGGAAAGAGGCGTATACGGCTTCTTCCATTGGGGGGTTGCTCAAGATGGCATTGGAGCCGACAGGTGGCTTTGGAAAATTTTTGATGGTTCTTGCGGCATTGAGCTCGATTCCGGTGAGTCAACAAATCTACCAGTTGGATTTAATCCAAGCTAATTTTTGGAAAAGAACAACATCCCAAACAACTACTCCTTTGCACTACATGCACAGAATCTGGGACCATGGGCTATTCGCATTCCCCGTGTGGCCTTGGTAACATTTGGGTTTATCGCGGCGATAATAGTCGGTTGTTGTGCAGCCGAATATTTCTCAGATACTCTGCAGACATTGCTCAGTGTGATTGGGTACTGGACTGTGATCCATATCACTCTAGTGATGGAAGAACATTTCATTTTCCGTCGTGGATGGAAAGGATATGATTTCGACGCTTGGAACAGCACCGCTAATTTGCCATTTGGGTGGGCCGCGATCGGGGCTTTTGCCTTTGGGTTCCTGGGTGCTGCTCTTGGTATGAAAACTTCGTGGTATTCAGGCCCAATTGCTTCTTTGATTGGCAAGAAAGGGGCAAATATAGGTCACGAGTTGACATTTGCGTTCTCTGGGGTCGTATTCCCTCTGTTCCGGTGGATTGAAAAACATTATGGGGGCCGATGAAGAGCCGTTGTCATGTTTTCGCGTTAAATTGTTTCTGGGTCATACCCTTTGATTTATCAGTCAGGTCTCCCTGGAATAGATGGGCTTTCTGGAAAGAGGCCCATATTGGACATAAGATCCCAATCTCCATTAGCCGAGATCCCCAATCCAAGAAATTCCGGGAAATAGTAACTGTTAAGTTCACCAAGTAGCTCGTCTGGTTGCGGATTTGCTGGCGGTAGCTCGATGTGCGGTCTTAATTTTTGATGCACCTTCGTGATAATATTTCCCAAAGTATGCGCCGCATGGCATGGTAGCCCAATGCAATATAGCCACTGCACTAAGTCACGTACGAGCAATTCGAGCTCGTCGATGTTGTGAGTCGATGCAACCTGTTCTTGGTAGGCATTCAGTAGGCGGCAAATGACAATAGCTGCAAAGGTGATCATGTGGTAGATGTGATCGGTCAAATGGCGGGTGCGCTCATCTACTGTATCCATGGCCAGTTGCACAATTGCCGTGGCATGGCGAATCATTTCCGACACAATTGGTTCCCGAGATCGGGAAGACTTGGCTTTTAGGGCATGTTCGTAGAGAAGTAGATGGGAGAAATGGAAGCCCATTGAGAGAAACTGAGATCTCGGTTGCTCTGATCGCGAAATTCATTAGCAAGAATGAGATGATATAAAGAAAATGTAACATACCAAGGACGAATTCCCATTTTCGTCGCCAGTCCTGCAAAGCTGCCACTGATTTCAGCAAATCAACCGACTCCTGAATGAGATGTTCATATACAGTCCAATAAAGATAAATCTCGGCCACCATGCGCACTTCAAAATTTATCGCATGGTCTGAAGAAATGATAGCACGACATCGCTCGATTTGCCAAGGTTGTAGCATGGATCGACGGCTGGTTCCAACACAATAGTGCATATGAGCAAGACATAGATGATTCCACAGATAGCAATTATTCATAGTTTCTTCATCCAATCGATTTGGGGGATGAGATTGGGTCGTGACAGCAGTAAACAGTGGACTCGAGTGGGAGTGCTGTAGAGCGAACCCGCTCAGAAGCCAGCTATCAATACTCAAAGGCACCTGTCCAACAGTCGTCGACCACATAGACAAAATCAAGGTAGCCTGGAAGAACTCAATGGGCTGCGGAGCAACTAGAAGAGTGGTAGAAGCAAGAGAGCGGGCATACTCATACAACTTCGGAGCAAGGCTTGCAGCTAATTCTTCAGAAGTGTGCCGCACAGCAATCAGAGAACAAGCACAGAACAGCAAGCTCGACTTTTTTACTCGGCGGAGAAGCTCACTTGGATCACAATCGGGAGCGAAGAGAACCCATCGACCATAATATTCGAGGAAGCTGAGGAAAGGGTTAGTGATAATTTGTCATGATAAAGCAATTCGTTTGGAAGAGCAGCATACATTGTAATGAGTGTAAGTGCAAGATCGGGCGAAATAAGATCGTCCAATACCGCCCCTAGAGATCTCGCGTCGGACATTGGTTTGATAGCGTTGTCCGTTGCTAGATCGCGGATGACCATGATCGGAGCTGCGGAGGATTCCGCGTCCTTATACGCACCGCTAGACCCCGGGCTTGTCTGTGCGGGGGTAGTTCTACTCGATTCATTGCCGAGTGTTTTCGCTGGACCTTCTCCAAGCCGATCCAGCAGAGTAGCCACGGTCTTTTCAAGACGTTCTAAACTATGGAAATTTGTCAGTTTTGGAGTAAACATGGGCTGAGGAATTCATACCGAGCATCCGTCCCTGATGCGGGGACGACGGTTTCCTCATCAGAGGCAATGATTTGGACGAGCGAGCAGCTTTGGTGAAGTCGGTCGCATCGCATACATGCTCGTCCAGGAATCCCAGCCTCATAGCATCTGGTCTTTTGTTTTCTGCACGAGGTGCATGCTCGAGAGGCACGACCCCGATCCGGCGGCATTTTGACCTAACAAGCGGAGACTGGCTCGTAGAGATGAGATTCGAGCATATAATAATCCCAAACTGAAGTCTATGTAGACCACAAACTACAACTGAGATGGGAATTAGAAGATCACCTGATGCTTCGGGTAGGGATAAAATAAGCTCCGGTCAATAATCGGTATTGACCTCTACAAATATATAGCTCGTCACTCGATAATTTGTATACCTCCCCCGAGGTTGAATGTAAAAAAATGATTTGGCATTTAACTATATCATAAAGTGTTTCGTCCGTTTATACCGTATAAAGTTTCTAGAAATCCATGCGCAATGCTATACTCGGCGCAGCCTGGGGAGCATTGTCTGCCGCATCAGCGCCAGTCTTCGAAGCAACAGCCCCGACTCCGACACTACGAAGAACCTCCTCTAGAAGTGACTTCTGGTCTGCATTCATAGTAGCCACCAGCGTCCGGAAAGTAAGCTGATCAGCCTTGGCAAGCTCGAGGAGATGGCCCGCCGATTCCTGGTGCACGGCCTCGCCTTCACGCTTAGCCCGTGCCAATAGTGCCGACATGACGAGAGAAGTAGCGGCAGGCAGTTCAGAAGCGGAGAAAGTGGCGTTAGAAATACAAGAAACAAGCGTGCGAGCAACCACTGTCCGGGAGTTTTCGGGGTCGCTGGGAATATCGCCGTTGTCCAGAGGGCAGGCAACCATGAAGGCGATCAGTCGCGGGACGAGGTATCGGCCGATCACTTCGTCGGTGGTAGAACGAGACCCTGGCTTAACGAGGATTGAACGGAGGCAGCTAGCTGCCACGGTGGCAAGACCGACGTCTTGAAGACAGTCGAGTAACTCATCTAGAACTCGGATCAGGACTGGCTCCTGGGGCGGAATGACATGTGCGCCGGCAGTCAGGAGGAAAGTGATGGCTAAGAGCGTATTCTTGGCGCAAGGGATAGAGATATCCGATTCTCGTCGCTGAGCGATCGTGAGAATGGTCAGGAAGCGAGTGAGACATCCTCGAAGTTGGAATGACACAACCTCAAGGTCTTCGGG